TTCAATGTTTGAGAAGGGTATTCCTACCAAGTACATGTGCCCGTTCTGTGTCTGTGTGCTGGAAACTCTGGCTGCGTTAGAGTCGCTGGAGACATCGCCGCAATTTGGGCCGCAATCTCCGCCGAAGCGAGCCTGTCGCCGCGGCGGTGCCAAGAGGACGCGTGACTGGCAGCTCAGTCATCAGGACTTGCGAGTGATGGCTGGGAATAGCATGAGCCTTCAGTGTGTGGGTGCTATGCTCCTCTTCGTCTTGGCGTTCGTCCGCTGATTTTATGTACAAAGCGGGAACACTGTGACAGAGAGACACAGAGAGATAGAGTCGAGACAGATTGTGTGCGTGCATGTGCCAGCGAAGAAACGACGGTTGTTGCTGTTTCAGGCCGTGCTGTGTCACAGTGTCACTGAGTCAGCAGCTATCGGCGGTGAAATTGCCTTGATCAAACTTGATTGCCGCTTGCCCCTGGCCGACACTCGCCCTTTTGTATCTCGAGATTTTTCGTAAGCCGAGTCTAGGCACGCGGCTGGCCAGCCGCTCCGAGGCTCAGCCGTTGGTGAGTGAGTGGTCATGCAAGCAGAAGATGACGGATTCGGCAAGTGTTTCAACAGTGGCGAAGCAGCTGCAAAGGCACGCCGTAAGCAGCCGAAGCCTGTGGAGCCAGCAGATCCAGCAGCTCTAGACGCGGGTAGTGAGGGAGAAGCTTCGTCTAGGGCCAATGTGAGGAAACAGAAGTTCGAGGCGAAGCGAGAGAGAAAGAAGCTTGCAAAGGATAAGAAAAAGACGGATCATGCGGCGTCAGCGGCTGCTGGAGCAACCAAGAAGTGTGCCGATTGCAAAAAAGTCTTGCCCTTAGACGAGTTTTGGGAGGATCAGGGGCGTTGCAAAACTTGCTCCAAAGAGAAGAAATCCGTGATTGACATGGCCAAGCGCCAGGGGGAGCTAGAGTGGTTCAAGAGTTTGGACGAGAAAGGTCAGGTCGATCTCAGCAAGGCCTACAAAAAGGCCAAGACTCATGCTGAGAAAGACCGCACGAAGGTCAAGTTCTCAGTCAAGCGCTACAAAGAAAGTGTGCTCGCCAGCACCGGGCATCGTGGAGAGAGGCGCAGGCGCCTCATGAGCGAAGGTCAATTCATGTCATGGGCCACCTCAGACGACGGTGACAACTTAAGCAAGCAACAGGCAATCCTCAAGTGGGAGGAGATGAAGGCAGACCCAGCATTCAAGAAGGAGGGCCCAAAGGGCCCAAAGCAGAAGATCTATGTTCCAATCCACAAAGACCTGATCGACTATGAAGATGTCAGCCTGCTGCTCATTTGTTTGTGTCTGCCTGCAGCTGAACATGAGACGGGTGGGGGAGAGGGGAGCGGAGAGATAGGAGACAAAAAAGAGAGAGAGAGAGAGAG